TATATTTTAAATTAATAATTCTCTGATTCAACTGTTAATATGAAAAATGAAAATATATGTTAATATACTTACTTTAAGTTATAATAACTACTATCTTTATAAAATCTATAATATTTTTATTATCAGTGAGAATCTGTATCAGAGACATAATAATGAAGCTAAGCTTAATTATAAGATTTCAGATTTATGTTACTTTGCAGACTGTCTTACTAAGAGTTATATATTCAGTCTTATTAAAACTTAGAGATACACAAGATTACTTCACTGAATATCATGAAATCAGACTGCTTACAAGCTCAAAAATATAGCTGAATATTGATTTTCTATTATTATTCAAGAGGCCTGCTCAATCAGAATCTGAGTAGCTGAAGAGTAAGTAGAAATTATTAAAAGAATCAGAGAGAATAGAAGAATTAATAGAAATAGAAGAATCAGTGAGAATAGAAGAATTAGTGAGAATAAACTTCTTATACAGACTGCATTTATAGAAAATACTTAAATTCATTATCTCTTTTAAATAATGTATAACATGTAACAGAGTCTTTCAATATGAAGATATTAAATTAACATTCTGTTGAGTAAGTACTAAGACAGTATGAGTAATATCAGAACATGTTTTAACTGCAATATATTGCAAGCAGCTCACATTATACTAATATCACTGAATTATGAAATCAGTCTCTTTCTCAGATATTGAGAAATTATTAATATAGAATTCATTCTTTATCAGTATTTTAATAATAACTGCATTATTAAGATAGAAATCTTTAACAAGATATTTAATATATTAATAATGTATCAAATCAATTTCTCTGTCAGAATAATTAACTTTCATGCTTAAATACTTAGTTAATTAATGTGAATTCTTGACTTTCAATTTCTCACGGAGTATACTCACTAGTTAATCAGCATTTTCAGAAACTTCGGATATGATGTTAAAATCATTAATATAGACTGTTATATAGAAATGATATCTGAATATATAATATCAGAGTATCAGATTATAGATACTGACTGCAAATTCAAGATCACTTAACAGAGCTGTTAAGTAATTATATCAGATCTTCACTGCAGAGTTCAGACTGTATAAACTATTCTCAATTATGCAGATAAGTGTTTTCAGCAAATCTATCTCAAATCTGATAAGTTGTTATTATTATTATTATTATTATTCTTCAATTATAGATGTATGCAGTCAGAGACTATGACATCTACCTGAGAATCTTTAGTTCTCAGGGTTTTTCCTATATCTATAGAGTCAACTATTATACATTTATCAATTTCAGATATGCAAAATCAGAAAATTTCAGCTCAGAATACAAAAACTGTTTACAAATTGCAGTATTTCAACATCTTCTGATACTTTGAAATCATTTGAAAATATCATGACAAAGGAAAAGAGAACATAGTCTTAAAGATAGACACATTAAATAGATAGATAGAAAAGAACAGAAAGAAACAAGTACAGTAAAGAGAGACTATAACAAAATAAAATTATTAAGAGATAGTATATAGCTGTTTTAACAGACTATATCTAATCAGTTTTCATCTCTTCATATTCAGATACTTCTGAATTCAGTCATTTTCTTATAGCTGCTTAAGTTTCTGATAGAAAGTCTATTAAGTATTTAATTCCTGTCTCAGTTGAGAATAAGAACCTCATATTTAATTGATTTAAATCATACTTCTTCTTTAATATGACTCTAAGACTATTGTACAATGCACAATGCATTACAATATACTCAGGATTTTCATTTACATTGCAGAATGAGCACTCTGTTGAATCAAATCTGTCATCAAATCTTTGTATATAGAATTTGAAATAATCATATCCTAGTTTCAGCTGAATTATAGATGAGAATATTTTCTTTTTACATTTAATTAAACAAGATTTTCACTTTGATTTTATCTCAAATCTTGAATAATGTATGCTCTTCTTTTGTTTCTGCCAGCTTTCATTTCACTTGTTTAAACAAGATTCTTTTATCTTTCTCTTTATGAAAGACTAGAACACTGTTTTTTGAATAGATCTGCTTAATTCTGAACCCTTTTTTGCAGCTGAATCAGTCAATTCATTGTCATGAATATTCATATGAGCAGAAACTCAATACAGATGAATTATCAGTTTTGATGTTCTTCTCTTTTGAATTTTCAAAACAGAGTTTAAAATCAGTTTGAGATTCATTTGATCATTAAGAATCTGACTATTTCTAAGTCTTTTTAAAGCAGCTTGACTATCAGAGAATATTCATGTCTCTTTCAAACTATTTCCTCTTTTATAAGATTTTATTTCAATGAGTTTGAAAGCTTTCACTATTACAAATAGTTCAGCATCAAAGACTTTAGATTCACAGCCTAAATTTCAGAAATCTGAGATAAAATTGATATTATCTTCAGTATAAGCAATGCCTGTGTCTAATCTTTTCAAATTCTCACTTTTTGAGTCATCTGAGTAAATCAGAATAGAGTCTTTTATATTGATTATAGAGATCTTTTTCAAATGCTGTTCATATTCTCTCTCTTTAGATAGTTCACTTATTTGTAAGTCTATGAGAGATTTCAGCTTTTCTCTTCAGAGAGATATCTTCTCATGATCAATTTTCTCAACATTTAATGAAGAAAATTGATTCTTAATGAGTGAACATAGTCTATACAGTTGAGAGGGCATTTTCTTTAAAGTATTATTCTTATTTCAATCAAGAAATCTATTTCAATCCAGTTCATTCCTGAGTTAACTGATGGAAATGAAGAAGAGACTCTTTCTCTGATTATATAATTTGAGCTCATCTTCATGACTCTCAGAGCATAGTTCATACAGGCCTTTTCAAATCGAATAGCAGGAGGTGGAATTGAAGCTTCAATTTCCATTGCTTTAATAGAAGATGATTTGAATGCTCTCAGATTTCTTCTCAAAGCTCTGTTTTATTTATTAAGTCTTTAATAGAATGTCAGTTTCATTAATAACTTCTGTGTTAGTTAATATATCAATATATCAGACTTTATAATTAGAGGTGTTAAATGTGATCACTGATATAATATCTAGAACATATTTGACTTCTAATATTTTTACAACTCATCTCTTATAGTATCTCTTTGTACAGAGACAGATATAGTGAGATATTATGTGATATCAGCTGCAGTCAGTTGATTCTATAGTATTATCTGTATAAGATTTATAAGATTGCCTGCAGTGTAATAGATAGATTTATTCAGATCATTATTAAAAGTTAACATTTCAGAGATAAGAGATAATAAAGAATTCATTGAGTTGAAATGAACAGATTCTGCAGATAAATATTGACTCTTCTTTTCTTTATTCTGAAGCACTTTCACTGTCACATCATTGAATTTCATACTCTGATGAAAACTGATATCAGTCTTGTCTTACAACTCAGAAACCTTCTCATAGTGAGTGATTATTCTATCAATAAGTCATCTAGTAGAGCAGGTGATTCTAGATCTTGAGCTGAACTCTGAAGTAACAGATATATCACTTATATTGAGATGGCGCTGCTTCTTCTAGATATATAAAAACAGGTGATATTCTTCACAATAGAGAACATATTTTTGAAAAGTATATAAATCTGCCAATCAGCGGATTCAGGGAAAATGAAATATCTCTAGTAAAAAGTAAGAGTCTTTTGAAAAAAGGTGAACTACTCT